GCATATGTTTAGTATCCATATTACTTCATTGCCTATAGTTTCTTTTAGTAAGATGTAGTTTCCCTGCTTATCCCTTTTAATTAAGTCTGTTTTTGCTTTTGCTTTGTCTGAGATCATGATTGCTACTCCTGCATTTTTTACTGATTCTTCTCCAGCTTCTTATTTTAAGACTCTGTGTATCATTCTGTTTCAAGTATGTTTCTTGTAAATGACATATTGTTGAATTCTGGTTTCTAATCCATTCTTCTATCCACTTCTCTTTTATGAGTGAGTTCATCCCATTCATGGTTTGACTACTAACTGTGCATTTCCCTATTTTCTTCTGTTTATCCTTCTCTAACTTGGTTTTGCTTCTGCCCACTGCCTTTTTTTTTTAATCTGTTCTCCCTTTTATTCTCCTCTGCCTCCTCTTCCCCTCCTAATTCCCCACTGGGTAAGATAGATTTCTATTATCAATTTTGTGTGTGTATTTCCTTCTTTGAACCAATTTAGATGTGAGGTTGTAGCACTGCCTCCTCCCCTCCCATTTCCCCTTCCATTATAAAAAGCTCTTCATTACATGCCTCTTTTATGTGAGATAATTTTCCCCCTCTCTTCTTCCTTCTCCCAAGGAATATTTCTTCTGCACCTGTACATTTTTTTCATTATCCCAACATAATCGACTCAACTCCTGGCACCCTCTATGTAGAATCCTTCTAATTGCCCTAATAATAATAAAGATTTTAGAAGTTACATGTTATCTTCCCCTGCAGGAACATGGGAATATATACATTTTATATATTTAAATATATAACATTTTGTTTATTTAAGTGTAAGTTATTGAGTCCCTTATGATTTCTTTTTCAGGTTTACCTTTTTAATGATTCTTTTGAGTCTTGTATTTGAAAGTCAGATTTTTCTTTTCAGTTCTGGACTTTTTTTTCAGGAATACCTGAAAATCTTTTATTAATTTTTTTTGCCCTGACAGTTTATACTAGTTTAAGTTATTCTTTGTTATAATCCCATTTGCCCCGTTTGCCTTCCAGAATATTATATTTCAAGCCGTTTGCTCCTTTAGTGTGGTAGCTGCTAAATCTTGTGTTATCCTGTTGCTCCATGACATTTGAAGTTTCTTTCTGGCTGCTTGAAGTATTTTCTCTTTGACTTGGGAGTTTTCCTTGGGATCTCTTTCAGATGGTGATTGGTAGATTGTTTCAATTTCTGGTTTACCCTCTGATTCTAGGATATCAGGGCAATTTTCCCTGACAATTTCTCAAAATATGATGTATAGGCTTTTTTTGATCATGGCTTTCAAGTAGTCCAATAACTTTAACATCTTTCCTTAATCTATTTTCCAGGTCAGTTGTTTTTCCAATGAAATATTTCATATTTTCTTGTATTTTTTCCATTCTTTTGACTTTTATTATTTCTTGATGTCTCATGGAGTCATTAGCTTCCACTTGTCCAATTCTAATTTTTAAGGAATTACTTTCATCACTGAGCTCTTTTTCCATTTGGCCAGTTCTGCTTTTTAAGTTCTTTTCATCCATGAATTTTTATATCTTTTTTTTTTTTACCATTTAGCCAATTCTGTGTTTTAAGGTGTTATTTTCTTCAGTATTTTTTGTGCCTCTTTTACTAAGCTATTGTCTTTTCAAAATTTTCTTCCCTTGCTCTCATTTTTTTTACCTAAAATCTCCTCTACCACTCATTTAATTTTGACAATACTTTAGCTCAAGAAATTCTTATTAGACTTGTGTCCAATTCATTTTTTTTCCCTTTGAGGCTTTGCTTGTAGTTTTTTCACATTATTGTCTTCTTCTGAGTTTGCCTCAATCTACCCTATCATAATGATTTTTTTTTTTGTGGCTAGGCAGTGGGGTTAAGTGACTTGCCCAGAGCCACACAGCCAGTAAGTGTCAAGTGTCTGAGGCTGCATTTGAACTCAGGTCCTCTTGACTCCAGGGCCAGTGCTCTATCCACTGAGCCACCTAGCTGCCCCCATAATAACTTTTTATAGTCAGGTTCATTTTTTATTGTTGGCCCATTTTTCCACCCTATTTCTTGATTTTTGAACTTTATGTTTAAGTTGGGCTCTGTTTTCAACATGGGACAGGGAGGTGCACTGTCTTAAGCTTCAGGCTTTTTCATACTACTGTTTTCAGAGGTAGTTCAGGGGGGTTGGATGTTTTCAGTACTTACCAAGTGATGTGATCTGGGGAGAGTTGTGGTCATTGCTCTCCTGGTCTCACTCTGGTCCTTACCCAGGAAGAGCCCCTGCTCCCTTATGACCAAAAGTGATTCTGTTTTTAGGGCTCCTGCTCCCTTGGAACCAGAAGTGATACTGTTCCTCAGGGTCCCCAATCTCTTGTGACCAAAAGCAACACTGCTTCTCAGGGCTCCTACTCCCTCTTGACCAAAAGTGTACCTCTTTGCCCTTGAACTATGATTCAGAACTGGTTATAGGCAGTGAATTTGTCAAACAGCATCCAGTCCTGCACCCAGTACTAGCATAGGGGTCCCCTGTAATCTTTCTGACCAGTTGCCATGTCCCCTTACTGTCACTGGCTTGAGAGCACCTGAAGTTGCTACTGCTGCTGCTTCTGTCACCACCACCTAGTCTCACTACTGGGTTTCATCCATATGGGTTACAAGCAAGGCTCCACTTCTGCATCACAGATCACTTTCTAACCTCCCAAGTTGTCTTGGGATAGAGGAATGTCTCACTTTGTCTTTTTGTTGGCTCTGCTACTCCAGAATTCTATTTGAGGTGTTATTTTTAAAGATGTTTGGAGGGGAATGTTGGGAGAGTTTGGCTGAGTGCTTTCTCTATACCACCATCTTGGCTTCACAGTTCCGTTAGTTTCTTAACAGTGCTATAATGTTGCAAAACCACAATTTATTTTAGTCATTTATGAATCAACAGACATCTTTGTTTCTGATTATTTACCTAGACAGGATGTTTCTACCATTAATCTCTTTGCAAATATACGCTTAGCAGTGGGATTGTGGGGCAAGGGATGTAGACATTTTAATAATTTTTTAGCATGACTATTTTTCAGAATGGTTGGACCATCATAGTTTTACCCACTGTATTAGTACAGCTATTTTGCTATAGTCTCTCCAATACTATTTCAACTTTTCGCCATCCTTGCCACATTTTTTGAGGGTGAGGGAAAAGAAATCTCATGATTGACTGGATCTGCATTTATTATTAGTAGTTAAGATCTCTATTTCATGTTCAGTTAATTAATATATTTTATGTTTTTATAAATAATGCTTTCTTTTAAATGTCATTTTGTTAGCATACAATTGCAGGCTGCGCTAATACTTTTTCTTTTATTTTGTGAAATGAGTACATCTTTGCTCATACCACTGATTGAGAGGTATGGAGAGTATTTATGCCATTGTATACTGTTTTCTTTTAAAAGCACATCACTCGCTAGAAACATGCAGCCTTAAAGGCTCTATAAAGCCTTCTAAATGAATCCACAGCAATGTAAACCATCAAGGCCAAAACAAGTGTCAGTCTACTGTTCTGTTATCTTTTATAGGGGCTGCATAAAGTGGGACAACGAATTGGACCCAAGATTGAGCAGGTGGAAAATATTAGGTTAGATTACATAATGCTTCCCAATTAGCCCAGACTGCTTATTGCTAACATCAGTGCTGCTATATATCATCAGATCTACTGAAGACTCCTAAAAAAAAAAATTGTCACCAAAGTCCCGTCAAATGTTCAGCATCAGAAGTGAACAGGATTTTATCAGTGGAAATGACATTAGAAGTATTTCCATCTGCTTTGCCACTATATCCTCAGGATTATGGGACCTTTCCATGTGACTCACAGCTGAATCCTTCCATATGTATTTATACCATTGTATATTGTTTTCTTTTAAAAGAAGGCTTTATAGAATTCTCTGGCTCAGTACAGTTAGTAAAATCTCCTCTGTGAATAGAAGCATTGAGAGAATCTTGTCATCAATAGACTCTTTTTTTTTTTGCAGGAAATTTTCCATGACATTGGCAGGCTGTATTTCAGCCTCTCTATCTGCCTAGTTTATACCTTGCTCAACAGCAATACTCAGTGTATCAATGAACAGTTACCTCTGTAGTCATATTTTTTATAGATCAATATTATATAAGACTGTATTTAGGGGACATCTCTGAGAAGAGCCTTTAAGGCTGCATGATTTTAGCAAGTGATGTGCTTCTAGGATGAAGGCTATGGGCACTGGAATGACAATATTTCCATTCCAGTGCCCATAGCCTTCATCCTAGAAGATAATACCTGGGGAGATGCAGTTGGGCAACTGCTCCTGCAGGTGTTATCATCAGATCTATTAAAGACTCCTAAAAAGAAAAATTTTGTCACCAAAGTCCTGTCAAATGTTCAGCATCAGAAGCAAATAGGATTTTATCAGTGGAAATGACATTAGAAAAGAAGTATTTCCATCTGCTTTGCCACTATATCCTCAGAATTATGGGACCTTTCCATGTGACTTACAGCTGAATCCTTCCATATGTCTTTTCTTCCCCCATTAGAATGTAAGCTCTTTGAGAACAGGGCCTGACTATCTTACTTTATTATCCAGAGCTTAGTATAGTGCTTTGCACATACTATGTGCTTAGTAAATGCTTTATTCATTTATTCACATATGTCCATGATATATTTTATTTGGCTTAACATTTGCAAGTCAGTTGACAATAAGCTATCATCTAATTAGACTCACCATGTTTTTTTCAATTCCCACTGGCAACCCATGAAATATGCAAAATACCATATCTAAATCACCATGAAACCCATACCCAGGTAGGACACTTAAACATGCTATGTTATAAGGCTTAAGAAAATATATGTACACTTTTAAGTATATGTATACACATGCTTATGGCTAATTGACAATGAGGGGATGATAGGAAAAAAAATTAGTTTCTTTGGTAACTTCTTTATCAATAGGCATACTGGGCAAACATTTGCCATTATGCTACATTTTCTTTAATTCAATTACACACACACACAAAAGTCACTTTAATTTTATTTTCAAATTAATTAATTTCAATGATACACAAAAATGCCACTTGAGTATAATTTTCATATTAACAACCTGCTATCATACCATTTATTGTAGCAGTGATAAGCCTTATATAAAACCATCACATCACCAACACAGTCTCAGACTCTAAACACATACAGCATTGTTAATGTGTTTGAGGATAAGATGTGTGTTTCATTTATCTACAATCAGAGAATATTATTCATTCATAAAGTATAATCTTTGGACAGTTTCAAGTGAAGCTTAATAATCAAAGTAGTTTCAAGTCATTTTACTTGTATCACAGGTTATGTCAAGATTCTAATGGAATGTAATTGTGAAAATCAGTGACAACCTTTGAAAATTAGCAGCTAATTATCAAATATTCTATAACTATATATTTTATAACCTAAAGATCTTAAAAGGCAATGGATATTAACCCAATATTATTAATTACAATCTGACATAAAAGAAACTAAATTATTTATGCTTTAAATTCCATTATTCTGAGCAGGAAGATGACAATTTCTAATAACATGTATTCTAAATAATGAGTTAGACATTTAAGAGATTTAAATTTCAGTAGTAACAATGCCTAAAAACCAGTGTTTTAACCAATTCTACTGCTGTTGTACAATTAAATTTCCAGAAAACAAAAGGAAAGAAAGGTTAAAATGGAGCTATCAAAGTGCAAGTGGTTAATAGTTAAATGAATATAAGTTTCAATAAATAAGCAAACATTTCAAATTGTCAATAATTTTCTTGAACGCCTGATCAGCTATCCATTTTTAAAACACAAAATGTTTTAAAAATAAATACATTTTATAACCATTTTCAACCACTGAGACAATACCAGTTTCTATAAAAGATATAGCTTGTAGCCTGACAACTAGTTTCATGGAACCTTGCTTATTTCAATAATTAGTTATTTCCATTGTCAGAAAAATAAAAAGTCTTAGAAAATGCTACCTGACAATTTGATTTTTTTAGTACTAATTCTATTAAGGTACTTCAGATTTTGGCTTAGCCACTGAAAATTTAGAAGAGAAATTTACAAATAAATAGTGCAAAATAATCAGGAGGCAACTGACTTGGTTAGTCCTTCTGATTACAAATTGAATTAGTTTAGTTTACTATACTCCAAACCATGCATAGACATCTAATTTACTACTGTGTTTTCTAAAATAGATCAGTTACAAAATTTAAAATTAGATTGAAGGTAGTTTTCAAAAATCTCAGCTTTACAATTGAAAGAATATTTTAAGTACATAAAACAAAACTTTATCCAACCTTTTTGATAATCTTTCTATAGGTGAGAAAGAAAAACACTATTACTTTTGTTATAAGGAGACTATACATACCTTAAATCTTATGAAAAATACTTTTAGAAATAGTTAGATTTTTATGATATAGGTTAATTTATAGGAGAGAAATATTACATTTTTGCTTAAATACTGACATTATATCCATTCAGTAAGGCTTTAGTGGAGTTAATCCATAGTACTGGTATCATTTACCTTTCTTCCCCAATTTGTCTTCCTTCTTGACTGTCTTAATATTAGTTTCTTTTTCATCTTTCTTCTCTGACTTGTCAATTACTTTATATTCCTCCAAGATGGCTTTTCCAGTTTGCTTTGCTGTTCTTGTCACCACAGCTTTGATACCAATGTTGTCAATATTAAATGCAGTGACACCAACATTGATGGCAGAATTCATTGCATTATCTGTAGCATGACCAGCATCAGCCCCATATCTTTAAGAAAAAATTAAGATACAGTGAAACTACAATCTGAATTAGAGCATTCCAAAACAGAATAAGTAGAACAGGATAAGTTACCTTTGAAAAGAAAAATCTCAGTTTGTTTCAGTTTGATTGTTTTTAAAAGGAGATTAAATCACTTATATGAAGCCAAGCCATATTTTTTCCAAGAGTAAGAACATTTTGGGAAAATTAATTTCTTAAATGGCAGCACTTTATTTTTGTGTGAATTCTTCACCTTGACATTAAATATAACAAAGCTTCACTACATTTTGAAACATGTTAATCAGTGAGGTTCCTTGGTTTCCTTCTCCTAACAAGTTACTGAATTCTCCCATTCTCAAAAAAGGAAGAAATAACTTGTATTTATACTTCTTGTTCCTGCTAATACAGGCAAAATTTCAACTACAAATTAGCTGTCAGATGTCTGTAGTTCAACTATTTATTTCTCTGGGAAAATGCATTTTAATTTTAAACAATGTCATAAATGGTTAAGACTCATTTCTTTATCTTAAGCTCCAACATCTCCCAAGACGGAATCCCATATTCCATAACTACCCTGCTGCCCCTACTCTAGATGTAGCACTACACAATGGAAAAACTCAAGCAAACCTGGCTTCATATCCTGTTTCTGAAAATTACTAGCTATGTGACAACGGGCAATCATTAGACTTCTCTGACTTTAAATTTCTTCATCTCCAACATGGTAATGATGCTGCTTACAAATGACATCTTCCTCACAAGGATGTTTTGAGGTCTAAATGAGAAAATAAATGTAAAGGCATTTGGCAGACTTTTTTTCTTTTAGCTAGACTCATGATTTCATTAGCATAAGGAGCTGTCAGTGAGGAATGCTATCTGCCAGTGCAGATCACCACCTATATTGCACCTTAGAATCTTAGCTGCCTGAGGACACTGAGTTCAAGTGCCTTGCCCACGGTCACCCAATCAGTATATGACAGAGATAGGGTTCAAACCCAGGTCTTCCTGACTTCAAGACCAGCTCTTTATCATTTTACCACATCAACTTTCTTACAAGCTTTAAAGTTACATAAGTCAGTTGTTAAAGACATTTCCCGTTGACATCTTAAGCTGAACTTGCCTAAAACTGAACTCATAATCATCTCTTCCAATTTTCCTCAGTACTTTTGAAAGAACCAATTATCCTCTTACTTAATTTTGACAGTCCTTCTCATTTGTCTAATTACCTGCTAATACCTAGTAAACCTACCTATATAATATACCTTGCATCCATCTTCTTTTTCTCACTCACATTGCCACCATTCTAGTTCAGGTTCTCATGACCTCTTTTGCCTGGATTATTCAAAAAGCTTCTACACCAGTTTCCCTGCCTCATCTCTCTGCTCCAATACATCCCTTACTCTGCTGTAAGAGTGGTCTAGTCTTTCCAGTGCACAAGCTTGACCGTGTTAATTTACAACTCAAAAGTTTTTAATGGCTCCCCACTGTTTACAGGATAAAATGTAAACCCCTAAGCTGGCATTCTTGACTTTCCACAATACGGCTGCATTCTTATCTCATACTATTCCACATCATCTACTCATCATTGTAATCACATTGGACTATTTGCCCTTTCCTAGAATCTATTCTTACAAGTATGCACTGGCACAGATTTCCTGCCTGGACTGCACACTCATATATGCCTATTAAAATCCTTCTCTTCCTTTTAAGTTCAGTTTGGGTGTCATCTCTTCCATCAAGCCTTCCTTCCCTGGTCTCTTTGCCTTGCTCAATGAACCTAATATCCTCCATTAAACTTTTCTTATGTACTATCAAGCTTTAACTTATACTTATTTGTCTATATGTCTTATCTTCTATTTATACTTCATGCTGTTTGAGAAGTCACTATTTCTCAATTTTCATTCTTGTATGTAATACATAGAACCTCACACAAAGGCATCTACTATTGGTTTAATTAAGCTTGTTTTTGCAGACAAGGACGTGTAGGAAAATGTGTAAGATGAATAACTGCTAAAAAAAATGTGATAATGAATAGGGCACTGCCAACCTGGAAGGAGGTTTCTAAGCTCTGTCCTTGAACCTGTCCTGTTCAACACTGTCTTTATCCATGTCACTGATAAAAGAGAAAGCAATTTAGTAGGCACACTGATACACTAAAGTAAAGCCAGAGTAGATTGACCATAGGGCTGGAAATCATATAACATGAGAAACAAATCTCTAATAATGTTTTGCCTACACTGACCCTCCTCTGCAATGATGTTCTATTTTACAGATAATACTTTCTCTCTTCTATTATACTGCAAGCTTCTTAAAAACGGAGACTGTCTTATGATCTTTGTATTTCCCAACAACCAACGTGGTACCCTGTCTATAATGGCACTTAATAAATGTCTGTCCAATTTAATTGAATAAAAACCAATGTGCTGTAGGGGCTAGGAATGTTTAACCTGGAGAAGAGAAAGCAACAGGGAGAACAAGACAGATGCCTTCAAACATAAAAGGCTGCCATGTGGAAGAAGGATATATTCTATATGGCTCCAGAAGACAAAACACTAGGAGGCAGAACATGGGACTACACAAAGTTAAGAACTTTCTAACAATGTACTCATTAAAACAGTAAAGCATGCTGCCTCAGAGTCAGAGTTCCTTGTCATTATAAATGTTTTAGCAGAGATTACATGACTAACTAGGATTCTAGCATTAATAGAAGACAGTACCAGAATACTTCTAAGGTTCTTTCCAACTTTAAGATTCTATGCTTCTCCAGTTTCCTGTCTTCTTCCTTCTGTCAAAGATACTTCTAAGTGCTACACTGTCTGAGTCTAGATGACTAGGGACCTTCCTTCAGCTGGATACAATTTTTCTATCCCTTGCAAATACTGACAGAGTGTCTTCAGGCTCAGAAAGAAATCTGTTGAACTGAATTCAGAATACTAAAGACTAGGTAGAAAATAGGAAGTATGCAGTTAACTATAAAGACTCCCTAGTCTATAATATGGTGATAATAGGGGTTGACTCTCGTTTCCCCAGCTAGAACTTGCCAATTTATCAAAGGCAATTCAGTCTACTAATTGGACAAAGTGGTTATCATACATTGTGCAATATCACCGTGTAATAGGTAGAGTATTTGAAGGACTCTTCAGTAGCAAAGATGTATCTGAATACTGTTAATTCAATGAATTCTGTAATTTAAACATATCTTTCTCCATTAATATGGCATTACTCTTATTACCATATGCTTGTAATAAAGATAGCACTAGAACACTATTACAGAATCTCAGAGGTCATTTAGTTCAGTCCATTACCTCGTTCAGGTATCCATTCTATGACATCCCTGCTTAAAGATCTTTAGTGATGGAGAATTCGATAACACCCAATGCAGCCTGTTCCATTTTGGAACAGCTCTAATTATTAGGATTTTTTTTCCTTACATTAAACTAAAATCTGTTTCTCTGAAACTTCTACCTGTTGCTCCTCGTTCTGGCTTCTGGGGCCAACAGAACAACTTTCACAAGTCAGCCCTTCAGATACTTGAAGACAAGACAGCTATCACATCTGCTCCCTAAGTCTTCTTACCAATCCTTCATCTGATTCTCTCTATATAGCATGGATTCCAGAACACTTATCATCCTGGTCATACCATAGTAGCTCAGATAAAATCCAATCAAAATTTAAGGAGAATCTTAATTAATTTATTAATCAATCAAATAACACTATATTTCTTACAGAAAGGTATTTTTCATTAAACTTACACTTCATAAAAATGTATTTTGCTACCATGAAATCTTACTGAGTGGAAAAAAATGGGCTGGCTACATCTCTTTGAAGAATTTAAGTGGAAAAAAAGAAGCCTGACAGAGAAATTTAGAAGCTGTGCAGAAGACTGAGGTGAATTATTTGACAGATATTGTACTACAATTAACTGTGTCAAGTTTAAGTTACTTATTGCTTTTCATGGTTGCTGTAGATCTTCAAGTTCCTATATCTAAAATAAGACAAAAATATCACTGTAACTGAGAAAGTAAACTAGTCATTCATATTATCCTCTGAAAAACTGTTATAATAAGCATCATTATAATACAATTGAGTATACTAGACAATAGGTAAAAAAATAAAAATGGCTGAAATGATTAACATAATAATCATAATAACATCATAAACCTGCATAAGTCAACTATAGTCCAATACCATAATCAAAATTGTAAAATCACAGAAAGTTTCCTTTAACATAGGTGACTTTTTCAGTCATATTTTTATCAAAAAATAAAAGACAATCTTGTTTGTTAGCTGAGTAGAACACCGGCAATCAGATAAAAAAAATCTACACTTTATGTATTTTTCTCTTTTTTGGAAGTATAATGCATATGAAATTTTAAAAATGTTCTTTCTTTTTTTTATCATGAGTTCCAAATTCTTTCCCTCCCCCTCGTTCCTCTCCCACCCGTCAAAAAGACAAGCAATATGATACCCATTATACATGTGGAGTCATGCAAAACATTTCCATATTATCCATATAAACATATACAATTAGTGCAGTTTTACAAACAGCTACTTCCGATTATGTTTTTATTTTGTCATGGGGTGGTGGTGGTTGTGGTACAGGGTTTAGGGGAGAGAAATGAGCTAGCAATAATGCTGTCAAAAATAAAAAGAAGAAAAGAAGATCAGGAAAAGCTACCTGTAGAACAGGGGACATCAACTGAGCCTGGAAGAAAGCTACAAACTGTGAGAGAAGGAGGTGAGGAAGGAGTGTATTCCATGCAGAGGAGTTAAGCCTATGCAAAGGCATGGAGGTAGGAGGTGGAGTACTAAATACAGGTAACAGCAAATAGGACAGCTGGGTTGTAACACAGCACATGAAGAATAGTGAGATGAAACAAGCAGGACCAGATGGCGATGGCCTTTAAATGCCCAGCGGAGGGGTTTATATTTTATGCTAGTGGCAAGAGGGAGTAATTGAAGGTTCAGGGAGATGGAGGGGGTATGACAGGAAAGGAGGTAATGATGTGGATGACATAGTCAGACTTGTCTTATTTTGACAATGTATATGTTGGTAGCGCCCCCTTCCTTAACTTAAAATTGCCCTGATTGGGAACTACTGATTTAGGTAATCCAATTTGTTTCTCAGGCAATTTGCCAAAACAACTTCATGGTAGGGTTTGGTTATAATATACTATGATGATAGCTATTACTGTGAAATGACAATAATCAGGGCAACATTATGTGAGGCTAGTTTTATATGTAATTCATACAGGTAAAGTAAAGATATTCAAACCATAGAATGACAAGGCTGGAAGGATCTTAGAGATCACCTAGTCCCAACCGCTCATGTTGCAGATGAAGAAACTAAGGCCCAGAAAAGTTAAGTGACACAACTGTGTTTACACAGTTTTTTTCATCATAAATAAGTTATTGCCTCCCCATTGTTTGAAAAAACAAAACAAAACAATCTCATACCAGTAGAAAATAAGATTCTGGCCCAATACTTAAAAATAGCCAGACAGTTGTTTTAAGTCAAGATTTTTACAAATGACAGAAGAAGTTAACCAAGTGTTTCTGTTGTTAAAAATTAAAATTAAAATTAAACTTACTTGTGTTGAACTGTATGTACAGTTTCTGAAGTAACTTTTTTAACTATGCATTTAGCTGCACATTCCATTCCTTGCCATACAGTTGAAAACCCTGAAAGAATTATTTTTAAATAAGCTTAATTAGCTATAACTAAATGGACTGCTTTCCTAGTTTAATATACCTGAATCTTTCTGTTACCTTGAAGGCTACTTGCTGCTACAACCATGGCACCTTCCAAAGGGGATTTCCCATCTTTGTCTTTTTTAAGAGATTCTGGAACAAGTTTGCCTCCATGCTTCTTGACATGTGGGGCTAATTCTCTTCCAACACAGTTTGCTATGGAACATACTCCTTCCACTAATATGTGTACAAAAACAAATATTTAGAAACCATGTTAAAGATTTTAAAATTAAACAATTATACACGGCTATCCTTCCTATTCGAAAAAAAAAGGCACAGATGAGCACGGTGGTTATAATGACCAGTGTATGGTTTGAAACTTTTGGGGAGTCTATTAATATTTATAACCCTGCCTCTTTAATATACCTCCATAGTTTTGTTTAAAAATAATCATTCTCATTTTTATTGCTATAGTGAACCAGTGAGTTTAAGTGTTTTCAAAACATTAACAAGCATACTATGACATATTTATTTGTGCTTAATTATTAAAAATTAAACATCAAAAAATCAGAAAATGCCACAATGAATTTCCAAAAATAATTTTTACTAGAATTTCAGTAAAATGTAAGTCTAACAGAATGTAAGCTCCTTGAGAACAGGGACTATTTTTCATTTTGTGTCCATATCTCCAGGACCTGGCACTGGGTATTACACATAACTACTTTATAAAGTTCTTGTTGAAGTCAAAAACAATTTAGGCTATAGGATTTTAGTTACTTAGCTACCAAAAGTCATGTACACTTAAAACAGCAAATACCAGAAATATTTTCAAGAGACAGATTTGACATCTCCCATCTCCTCAACAAAGCTGCTTCATCCCAAATGTTCATTAATAAAGTCAACCATTGTAGAAATGCTTTTGAATAACTGCCATTTTTCCCTAAAACTGAAAAAAGAGAGTACAACATAGTTACCCAGGAACTGACTGACTTTCACTGCTCCTCCTGTGGCCTGCTTTGCTATATGAAGTCCCTTGGACACAGCTGGACTAACTTCCAGTGGCTTTTCTTCAGGCTCAATATGTTCACGAAGTTTGGAGGCTCCTTTTTGGATTACCTTTCCAGTAAGTTCAGCTCCTTTAACCAAACCCCAACTCAGCCAGGATGCACCTTTTCAAAGGAAAAGAAAAGACACTGTACGTAACTGGGATACCAGCTATGCCTTTAAGCCTCACTTTATAAAACCAACGAATCAACCAACAAGTATTTATCAACCAACCACTATGTGTGAGGCACCTATGCTAGGGATGCAAGTACAAAGAATGACAAAATCCCTACTCACAAGGAACACATGTCAAAAGAAAAATAAAAAAGTTCAGAAGACAGGGTCAGGATAGTTTGATACCTCTAGAATTTAAGACCAAGTAATTCCCAATTTTTTTTTAAACTAAAGAATCCTATTGGCAAAGAACATGATTATTAATACTAGAAGAGTTTTGTCCTTAGATATATCTTGCTACCATGGTTAAAAATAAGTTTGTTTTCTTTTAAAGTGCTCCTTAGATATTATTACCAAGAGCCAAAAGAATCAGACTGATTATTTATCCTGGAATAGCATAGGATCCTAATGAAAGAAGGCTACTTAGGCCACAGGTGGCTACTATTTACTAAAGATAGACTGAAGAATCAGCAGTAGCAGCAACAATATGTTGGGTACAAGGGGAAACCTGGTTTATAAAGAGGTGAGAAACTTTGTATTCATTATTCTATATTATTATTATTGTTATTATTATTTTATTTACAAAGTTTCTCTTACAGAGAGGTTAGGTTCTAAAATTAGTCACAAAGCAAAAATCTGATATTGTCAAAACTGTCCTTGAAAATCTGTCCCTGTAAAGTATATAGGTCATTATCTTTACACTGGAAAGCTGGAAAAGGGATAGGGCTTTTTTAATGGAGAGCACATTGTACCAGAGAAGAGATGGATCTGAAAAGGTTGCTACGGAAATAAATCAAAACCGAATATTGTTTTCGGACCCAACTTGGTCCCAAGCAAGAACCAGGAGAATACACTTCCCTCCTTTTTTGGCAGTTTGGAAGCTATAGATGTGGGATGCTGCATACACTCTTAGACTTAGTACATGCTTTGGTCAGTTCTGTTGTTCTGATTTTTCCTTTTTCTTATTCTTTGTTAAAAAGTATGACTCAGAATATGAAAATAATAAAAGCTAACATTTGTATATAGGGCTTTAAGGTTTGCAAAGCACTTGACATGTTATCTTAATAATCCTGTGAGATAGGTGCTATTTCCTCATTAAATGAAGAAACTGAAGGTAAGAGGTTAAGTGACTTGCCAAGGGTCACACAGCTAGTAAGCACTTGAGGCAGGATTTGTATTGTCTTCCTGACTTCAAGTAAGCTACTCAGGTTCCTACCTCCAAGGAGAGAGGTTATGGACAATAGCAGTAGAATTTGACACACATTTCTGGATATGATCAATATGTGATTTTGTTTTGCTTAGTTATAGTTTGGGGGGAGAGTTCTAGGGAGGAGGGAGATGGTGATTCAAAAAAGAAACATTTTTAAAGGCACAGAATAGGGTAGAAGGAAGTTCAGAAGGGGAGCTTTATTCTCAAATTGTTGAAAAGAAAAAAAATTATCTAAGTCCTCCCTATTAATCCATCATTTTACTTCTGGTCACTTTGGAGTTCAATTTCTTTGATTTGTATGAGTAGGCTGACTTAGTTAAGGTCTAATCTATTAAATACAAGCAAAACTTCAGATCTCTGGAACTCTTATGCCATGTGTCATTACAAATAGCCAAAAGTTTCCAGATATGTAAATATTAATCTTTTACATATAAACAAAAATTTTAATAGCTTTTAAAAATGCAACTTTTCCTAAAATATATACTTAATTTCTGGTTTTCTTAAGCAGGTTAAAACACATTTTAATTAAATATTTATTCCACCATTATGAGTATTAGTTATTAATAATAAATGATACATTATAATTATATGATACATTAAGATCACTGTCACAGTATCAAAAAAACTGATACTGGGGCAGCTAGGTGTTTCAGTGGATAGAGCACTGGCCTTGGAGTCAGGAGGACCTGAGTTCAAATCTGGCCTCAGCCCAAACACTTGACACTTACTACAAGCTATGTGACCCTGGGCAAGTCACTTAACCCCAACTGCCAAAGGGGGGGGGGGGAGAAACTGACACTAGGAAGGACACTAGAATGTTCTGTAGTTCAACCTCTTCTTTGTAAAGACGAAGAAATTTGGGACCCAGAGGGGTGACATGACTTGCTCAAGGTGACAAAAATAAGAGTGGCAGGGCTGGGATTCCAACCCAGCTACTGTGACTCCTAATCCAACATTTTTCCCAGTACTGTTGCCCAGCCTTTTACTGCATGAGAGATACAGATTGTATGGAACATAGGATTGAATGAAATCCAGCCCTTCTCAATGGCCCTGAATTCTGTTATTTTGAAAAGGTTCTTAATGTCAGATTACCTTGAAGGAAAGAAGGAAAGGTGAGCATGTATCTCCTAAATAGCTTTCATACATAATTAATTAATAAATAAAAGGTGAACGAAGTCTTTTCACAAGTGGTTTATTTGCCCTCTAGAAAAATAATCTTCTTTTCTGTGGCTACTGATATTCTTTGATTCCTCAGTACCCCTCAAAAACATGATCAATAGTTTTTGTACCTCTAAAAGATAATTGAATACAGGGAACTTCTTTTTAGGGCAGGTAAGTTAGAAAAATTGGCACAACCTAGATTTGTTCATGGGCTATGATGGGATATCCTTTTCTATTTTAGAAATTTGTGTCAAACTGTTTGAGAGGGGTTAACTTCCATTTATAACTTCTTTATAATCATCAGAAGTTGCTTTTGGTTTTTCTTTCCTGAAAAATTTTTGACATAAAACTAGGCTCGAGCAAGAGTAAAAATTTTATATTATAATATTAAAGTCTTATATGGTAGATGCATGATGGAACTATTTTCTAATGAATTTTCTTTTGTAACATCACTTTGACTAACACTCTGATGCATAGGCTGAATCAACAAGTGGACAATCAGAAGACAGCAAAAATTTCCCTCAAATCAACCCCTCCCTTCATAAACTAAGTACTACAAACATCTATTAATAGAATAGGCCTGGTATATTTTAAAACTCGTAAGCATCAAAGGATATCTTACTACAAGAAAGGTGAAAGAACAGTAAGAAGAATTATTCATTCTTACTCTCTGTAAACAGGAAAAAAAAACCCTGACACATTTGAAAGCTCTAGAACAATTTTCAAATGGCCATGTGCTTTCTGAGAACATTAGCAAGTGTAATAACACTCACTCTTTCCTTCTGTGGTTTACAGACTATTAGGGTTTATTTAATTCACTGACCCCTGAGCCAGCAAATTAGGAGGCTTCACCAAAACAGATCAATGCCATTAACCTAATAAAACTGTTGAGATAACAGATTGAGCTAGAAAGAGATTCTCTGGAATATTATAAAGTTCTACAGTCATATCTGGCTCTTTTTTTGTTTTTGTTTTTTAAAACATCCCAATAGTATATTTAACGGGCAGCTAGGTGGTGTTCTGGATAGAGTGCCAGGCCTGGAGGCAGGAAAACTCATCTTCCTGAGTTGAAATCTAGACTCAGACATGTACTAGCTGGGTGACCTTGGGCAAGTCACTTAATCCTGTTTGCCTCAGTTTCATCATCTGTAAAATGAGCTGGAGAAGGAAAGAGAGAACCACTCTACTTAGTATCTTTGCCAAGAAAACTCCAAATGAGGTCATGAAGAGTAGGACATGACTGAAAAACAACAAAATAGTATACTTTCTATACATTCATATCTTGCTATGTCCCCCACCTTCCAAAACTATTCCTGACCTTCACTATGGACTTCAGTCACTCTTTCCTTCATTGTTCTCCCAGGCCATCAATCTCATCTCTGTTCTCACTTTGCTTCCCATCTTAATCTTGACTCTATGATTAACCAATTCAATTACAAAATGTCTTTAAGTCTTGAATCTCTTGCCCTACTGGGCAACTGTTCTATTCACTGAATCAATATTTATTAAAAGCCTCCAGATGATTCTGGGAACATGGCGACGCAGGTCAGAACACTTTTGGCTCTACAAATTTCCTCTACAAAAAAAGACAGGATGTCACCTCAGAACACCAGAAATAAAGCCCAGAGTAAAGCAGTAGTTGGCCTAAGACAACTTGCAAATACTTCAGAAAAGACCTGACTCTCAGGGGCAGAGGTTCAGCAGGAGCGAAGTACAAATACCTCCAGGCCAGCTCCGCAGAATCAACAGCAAGCCAGCAAGCCCTGGGGGCAGCTGGGGTTGGGAGGCAGCCTCAGCCTTAGAAACTTTTGTCTCACAAACAAGTCAGGGTCTGTTTGGCTGACTAGGAGATTAAAGGGCCTTCCACAAATGCTAGCACATCTGGGTTGACCCAGAGGCCTTCGGGGGTGGGTGGCTAACTGGGAGGAAGGGGAGGAAGGAGAGAAGGAGCTAGCACACACCTGGTGAGTGCAGTAGCAGAGGAGCCGGGACCCTGTCGGCACTTGCAAGAGAGCGGAGGCCCTGGTTTCAGTTCCAGAGCAGAGAAGACAGCTGTGATTTGCAGCCACTGGAGGGATGGCAGAGAGTAAGATCATTTGCCAGACACTGTAACTAGGGGCTCTAGCCATGGCTTAGGAGTGGAGAGGAGAGTCCAAGGATGGGCCCTGGGACAGACGTCAGAAAATAACAGTAAGAAGAAACAGAGGCTTGGGGCAGTACACCCCATACCTTGGGACTAGAACTTGATCACATTAATAGCTGCTAAAATAATAATAAAACAAAAAAAAATGAGCAAGCAGAGGAGAAATAACCCAACTACAGATAGCTACTATGAGGATACAGAAGATCTGGGTTCATATTCAGAAGAAGATAATGGAGCTAAAAAAGCTACTCCTTTTTCAATGAGAAACATCAAATGGTCCCAGCACAAAAGGATTTCCTGGAAGAACTTAAAAAGGACTTTAAAAATCAAATAAGAGAATGAAGAAAAATCAGAAAAAAAAAAACAGCAGTCCAAGAAAACCAAGAAAATTATGAAAAGAAAAGCAACCTACTTGAAACGCAGAATCAAAATCTTAA